CCTCTCTTCGGCTCTTCCTCCACCATGGAGGGGCATTTCAGCCCTTTCAATCTTTTCAAGCCTAGTTTTGACAAAAAAAAAAAAAAGAATTAAATAATTTGCATGATCTACCAAACAAAATCAGTTGATACTAATAAATAATAACACCCTGTCAAAAAATATAAATCATTTTTAATTAAATTTTTTCTCTCAATAAAATAATTAATTATTTTTAAAATAACACAATATTTTTTATATTTACTTTTACTTTATATAATATTTTATTTTAAAATAAATATAAAGTAAATTATTTACTATGGGTGTTTGTAAAAAACTCATATTATTACACTTTCAAATACTTAAAAATACCTCTCATTTTTTAATATTTAACTTTTTTAAAAAATATCTTATATTTTTTTAATGAAAAAGTATATTACACGCCTTTACATCGATTTCTTTGCAATAACCAACAAGAGCCCTTAACATTTTGTTAATGTTAGCTACGCGGCAGCAACTTCGTGCTACAGGCTTGACTAAACCCAACATCTAAAATTTTTTTCACGATATTTTCAATCAAAATACAGCATATGTGAGGGCAAACTAAAATAGTAGTTCTGATCACACATGTCCAATTGTAGAATTATAATATTTTAAAAAATTTATTTATCATTTATATATATATATATATATTGATGTGATTTTATTATTATTTTTCTAATTTCAAAAGTGAGATGTATTCAATGTTTTCCAACCGCTGAGCAAGCAGTTAGAGTAAAGATCATTTAAAATGGTGAACAACCGCAATTAATTAAGTGGAAAGTGGAATAATTTAAGCTTACCATATCCAATGATTTTTCACTAGTTTTAAAACCTTAAAGATATAGCAATACATTAAAAAGAAGCAAAAGGGACGACCTCTAAAAGACTGGTCTGTGAATGCACATGGGAGCAGAAGGATGGAGAACTCTGAATTAAATATGTAAATGATACCTTATCATCAAGTGTTTGTGTTTTTGTGTGTGAGAAGCATTCCTCAGATGGAAAAATGTTATAATCAAGCATTGTTTGTACATAGACAATGGAAAACAAACAAGAAATTTGTCGCTTTGAATATTAACCAAAGAGATCTATTCTAACAAATCAACTAAGGGCAAGCACAACTTAAGATAAATTTAGTTTAAAGCAAATCACGATGTTTTTTTCATTTATCTAATTTCATTTTTTATGTTTGTACTTTATGATTATTTTTAAAAAATAAATAATAAATAAATTTCATTACAATTATACCAGTATCTTTTTTATTTTTAAATCATTTACAACCCCTTAAACACACACGCACACGCACCCACCAGGATTTTATTAATTCTCGTTGAAATTGTATAGATATAACTGGACTAGTAGAAAATTTGTATAATTTATTTTTTTCATAATATTTTACATATTAACAAGGATGTACTCCCTAATCTCTTGGTTAAAAAATATAAAATATTTTAAATATTTTAAAGTATAATTAATGATTTTTTTAAAAAAATATCCTTTACTAGTGGTTTAATTAGTAATTTTTTTATTAAGACACCCTATTAACTGGTTATAAACATGAAAAGAGTTTGCAGTTACTAATTTTAAAGAAAATTAATTAATTCATTAAGGGGTATAGTTGAGGTAAAAATGACTTATAATTTAAACAAAAAAGGAATGTGTTTTTTAATAATAAATACTGTAACAAATTGGTTTAAATAAAAATTTTGAACGCGCGTAATATTTTATTCTTAAAAGTACTATGTTTAATTTGGTTTTGAGGTTGACGTATTATTTTATATATATTTCCACGAAGCATTCAAACACAGATGCCGACCAGTGGCGAATAATGAATACAATTTATTATAAAAATAAAGCATGAAACATGACAACACAATGTAGATAATCTTAAAGTAGGTGTGACATTGAATTTTCAACCGGTTAAGAAATCCCATAAATAGAAACCCTTATCTTAAAAGGAAACAAAGGAGGCCTCAACTCAAACCTTCCTTTTCCCCAGTTTACTTTACTTCTTTTGATTCCATTCTTTTCTTTCTTTTCCGCACCTTGTCTTACTCTTTGTACTTATTAGGCACCCTCACTTTTTTTGCTCTTTACTTATTTCTTTATTTTGTATATAGCATCTTGTACCCAAAATTCTGTCAATATTGAGTTGAAGGGACTCTTAACAAATTTAAAGTAATTTAGATCCTGTTGATTTGAGGTCCTTTTAAATAAAATTTTTATCACTAATATTATTATATTTTTAGAATTCAAACTTAAAACCTTTAATTAAGTCAGTTCAGTGGTTTTATGTAATTATTTTAAAAAAATTATATTTTAGTCCTCTAATTTTTAAGTCACTTGTAACTCAGTCTCTCAATTATGATTCACTGTGACTCAGTTTTTCAACTATGACTTGCCTATAACTCAGCCTCTCAATTTTTGAATCACTTACAAATTAATTCCTTAACTTTTGTTAATTTTTTTTTCATGTTAGCTTATATCTCACATCAATGAACAAGAGGAAGATATTTTAAAATAATATGAGTATTTTTTATTTCTCTTATTTGATAAGAATTTTTTTAAAAAAATTAAAAAATAAAGAATGAATTATAGGTGAATCAAAAATTGAGGGATTGAGTTGTATCGAGTTATAGTTAGGGACTGAGTCATAATGAGTTATAATTGAGAGATTGAGTTACAAGTGAGTTGTAAATTAAAGGATAAAAAATTAATACATTAACCAATGCCTAACCCTAAACCTAGCAACGCATTTTCTTTTTCCTTTCAAAACAAAAACAAAAACAAAATCCTTGAAAGACACGGAAGCTAATAAAAGATATGAACCCCTCTCTCTCTTTCTCTCTGGGTGTTGCAGTTTTGCAGAGTCTAATAAAAATCATAAATCCTTTCAAATACTGTTCAATCCCACTTGAAGTTACAGCATCTAAGGCTCATGTCTAGGCAGAGACTTTACCCATCTTCAATCCTTGAATTATTGCCCCTTTTTTTATTTCGCTTTAGATATAAACCAGTTGTCATAAGCCTATGACAGTCACTGATCTGTCTCCTTTTGCATCTATCATCTATCATCTATCATCTATCTATCTATAAACAATACTTCAATATTTCCTATAATTAAATTCATGAAAACTCATTGTTGCTTTTGTTTTCTTCTTCCTTCCCGAAGAATCAGTAGCCATGGCATTAATTCTGTGGACCACTTTCTCGTTGCCTTATCATAGGTCACCTTGATTTTTTGGTAACCCGGCTGTCATGAATTGAAACTTTGCGTCACAATCATGTTTACATGGAGAACTAGACTACATTATTCACAAACAATAACGGTGTTCTTTTTTCTTCTCTCCTTCATAAGGCTCATAATTATTGTTCTTAACAGATCTCCTAATCCTTAGGAGCTGATTGTAGTTTCATTTCATTCGTGCAGCTGACACATCTCAAAGATGAAAAAACTTATTATTGAAAAATCATATCAATTCAACCGGTTAAACAGGTAAATCATTTACCAATGTTTAATTGATTTAATAAAAAATTTTATGTATGACCAACTTAATAAAATTTTACGACCACCAATGATCAAGAATGAATTCAATTTTTAGTCATTCTTGCATTGAAACGTGGCTCAAGATTACTTAATTGTTTTATTAAGCGAGAGAGCGTATTAGCGAGTTGGGAGACCTGCTTCCTTAAAATATCTATGATGACGCTGCGAGTGATGCAAGAAGCTGTAATATTTTAGTATTAAATAATTGCCTAAACTGGAACATTCAAATCACAGATATTTAGCGTATTTAAATATTGAATTTGCTTCAAGACCGGTTCAGAAGCTGTCCTCTTCAATACTCACAAGTCCAGAAGCCAAAGCCACATACACACCCAATGACTCTAATTCGACACATATAAACATACATAATCGTTTCTCTTTTTCCCTTTTCAGTAAATTATTGTTATCACCTTTCCTCGCAAAATTGAGAGAGGGGTTAAAAAACTTAGCAAACCCTTGAACCATTGTACCCTTTTGTGTCTTGTTTATCTCTTTTCCTTTCTGCCATCTCACTCAATGTATCAGTGTCCTCTCCCTCGAAGCTTTAGGCTTTAAGCGAACAAGGATAGGTCCCTCCCATCATGATAATAACTTTGTCTGACTGCTTTTGGACGAGAGAACTGATTCAAAGGACAACGTTGATGGAGACTATTCATCACCATCCAGTTATATTTCCGAGACTCTCTTTGCATCTCTCTGATATTCTCTGGTCTTGCTCACCCGCTCTCACAGAAAATTTTTCATCGAGCTTGTAAGATTTCTCACTCGCTACGTCAAGCTAAACAACCCAGCACAGGACGAGAATCGCAGCCAGCTAGCATGGTAGAAGCTAGCTAGCATCTTTTCTTAATAGGTAGGTTGTTAGCTTAGGAACCGATTGACAATAAATGTTGAAGGTAATATAACCCCAAATAGAGAAAAGAATATGTACTGCCACTCCCAGCATAACGTAGAAGAGCCATAAATTTTTCGATTTTCTCTCGTTTCTTTGCAAAAGAGCAGAAATTTTAGTCAGAGCCCGGAAACAAATCTATAGCCGCTTTGTTAGTTTGACCAAGACTTGTATTTCCCAATCTGAACGCGTTCTTTTTAGATACCTTTCTTTCGTTTCAATAGTTAAAAACTTCGGTTTTGTGGGGCCTTCCCCAAGAAGGGTTTATCAACCAGGATAACGGAACAAGATCGAATATTGAACCGATTCAAAAATTAATTAATAGTTAAAATCATAATTAAATAATAATCAAATTAATTATAAACATAATATTTTATTGAGCCAATCAAAACACTAGAGTTGAATCAAGATACATTTGAGTTGACCTGAATTTCCAAATATGGTTTTGGACGTAAACAAGCGTATTAAATAACATGGAATTATTATTAACGAGGCACGCAAACGTGAATGATATATGGCATAATTCTATTTTGCACAAAAAGATTAACTGTATTTTAATCACTAGATTTATTTTCACATTTTTTATTGATAATTTTTTATATAAAAAAAAATAGATCTGATGGTAAGACTGCTCCCTGTAGAATTATCCGGGGGTAAATTATTGGAATATAAATGTTGAGACAGGAAATTGAAGAGGAGGGTCAGGTCAGGAGGGTCTCATGAGAGAAGTGTGGAACCCATTTTTCTGCAGCCAAGCTTGTGATGAGGTTGTGATCTGCTGTGGGAATCCTGATGATGCTGCAGCAGAAGAGAAATACTGAGAATGTCCAGATTGCCATCGTTCTTGATTATTCATTGACAATGAAAGATCACTTCCCAAACGACCTGCGTTTCCATGACCGCTGCTAGGAATCTACATTCCAAAACACACCATATCATATAGACATCAGCTTCTAGACATAAAACTTCACCTACATATTCCAATTAATAATAGTACTAGTCCAGAGCTACCTACACGATAATTTGGGTGGTGAAAATGCGGGAAATGGTTAAGAATTTGAGGTTGTCCAGGACTCTTGTAGGGTCCATATCTCTGAGTTTCATCAGTGGCTGGAGATTGAAGGTGAGTCTGACTCAGAAGACGCAGCGTTTCACTCTCGCCGTGCACATTTCTTCGATGAGACTCCATGTTACTTCTACTAGGTTGTTCTGGCAACAGATTGACCTACATTTCAAGCAACGGATTAACGTTAAGTTCACATGATTAAATTAAATGAATCTATAATTAAGTCGGCGCCAGATTAGCTCACCGATGCTTGCCTAGAATTGTGATTTGACCTCGAATTGCCCAGACTTAAATCCAGATTGTGATCAGCGTTACCTGAGGATTCTAATGAACAAATATAAAATAAATGACTAGTGTTCACAAAAGAACAAAAAATAAAAGGTACATTTACCTAATGTTAGTTCCTTACCAGAATTAAGCTCATTCTCATAGATGCTGGGATCAAAATTGGTGACGGCGTCTTTGCCGTTGCACTTTATTGCTGCTTTATCATAAGCCCTAGAAAATGAGCCACACAAGATATTATTCATTCATAACTCTCGAATAACAGGCATTAATTTATGGTGAGAACTAAGAACAGATATTTATATATACCTAGCAGCTTCAACCTCGGTGTCAAACAGACCGAGATAAACATACCTGGAAATGAGTGATGAATCAAATTAAGCTGGATGAAAAATAAAAAATCAAAGATGAAGGGAAGGAAAAGAATGAGATTATTGGTACTTTTTGCCTAGAAATTGGCCCAGTCGAGCCTCCCATCTTCCACACTTGTGTAAAGTTACACCTCTATATTTGGAGCTTCCCCTCGGAAACCCAGTGCTTTGTCGGCGAAGTACGTGCACGAACTCTTCCTTCGTCAGATTCCCCATCTGCTTAAAAAAAAAAAAAAAAGCCATTGAATTGATTGATTAATAATTTATTAATTAAGTGCTGCAGGAGATAAGGCATCATCGATCACTGTTGGTGATAAGATGAGAATGCAACTTTAGGCATCTTCTCTTTTCTCTCACCTGTTTCAAGTCTTCTTCATAGTCTTCTATGTTGAAGTTTATGTCTGCTTCCACTCCCCGGAACTTGATGGCCGCTCTATCATATGCACTGCGCAGAGTTATATATATATATATATATATATGTATATGTATATATCCAGGTTAATTGCTCTCTCAGCTTTACATTTCCCAGAATGATTCTATATATAATAAATTAATCGAGTGCTTACCGAGCCGCTGCATGTGCTGTGTCAAATCCACCTACACAAAATTACCCAGACAAAACAATCTCGTCAGCCATGGCAGAAATTTCCCTCTCTTAGAAAAATAATTTCTCTTTTGATTGACACTAGGAAAAGAAGGAAATTATATAACCAGCATAGTACAATCACTCTTTGTGGTGATGATATATTTTATAGGCTTACCCAGATAGACTTGTTTTCCACAATCCCTGAAGCAGCGAGGACAAACACCAACACAAACAAAAACAATCAGTTTCCTTTTATTAATTAGATGTATGGCTAAACAAAGTGGAGACAGATGAATCGCAAAATATAGAGTCTTGGTTCGCATTTTATGGAATGGAAAATGGTGAAAGCCTTACCATATGTGAGATTCCCATCGACCTGTTCTTCTGTAAAAGGTCACTCCTCTATACTGTGAGCTTCTTGACCGTGGGCCTCGCCGGCTTTTCTTAATCATAGGCTGCGACGACGACGGCGACACTACTTCCACTGATTTCCCACCACCGCCACTTGCTTCTGATTGGCTGAATTTTAGGCCTATCCAGTGAGACCGAGGAAAGGCTCGGCTGGAGGAGCCACCGGCGACGTCGTCAGCCTCCTCCACCGGCATGAACTGCCTGGTTACGGGTGGTTCAGCTTCAGCACTATCCATGGATGAGTCTTCATGGGTCACGCAAAACCCGAATATCTTACTGCTTCGCTTCTTCTTCTTCTCGCTCTCCTTTCCGTCCGATATCCTTCGGCTTCCCTCGCCGTCTTCTTCGGCGGATCCTTCCTCCATTACCACTGCGGAGGAACTTGAATTGGACACAGATCCGTCGACCCGCTTTCCTTTATCATCATTCAAGGAAGAACAGCCTTCTGATTCGTCGCCGTTTATCTGATCGGGCGAGTCGTTAAGATCCCACATTATTTCGCCACTCATTTATCTAACAAGGTGACCGAACCCAGATTTCCGATGTCCTCACTCGCATCAAAAGACCAAAACTTTCTCGTCGGCGAAAGAAATTATCTCGACCCCCTTGCTTTTGCCCAGGCTTGTTGTCCCCGAAGCTGAGAATTTAGAATCCAGAGAAGGAGATTAGAGAGAGAGAGAGAGATAGAGAGAGGCGAACAGGGGGTGAAAGAAGGAAGAGTTTGAAAGATCTTTGTATTGTATTTCCTATAACTGCCGAATACAGCATAGACGAGGCCAGTTCGAGCAAGCTTAACCGAAAGCATCACAACTTGGCTTCTTAACACAAGCCACCCTCTCCTTTCCTTGTTTAACCACTTGACCTCTCTTTTCTTTTTCAATGACTCATCATCGTAATAATTCAGTCCTCTCTCTCTCTCTCTAACATGTCCTTCCTCGGCATTAATATATTGTTAAATAAAAGACAGGTGTTTTATTTCTTTATGTGTCTAAATTTTGCTTCTCCGGTAATTACTAACGCGGCAATTGAATCCGCTGGTTTATAAGGGAAAATAATTAAAAAGAGGAAAGGGAGTTGGATATTTATATAATGGGAGGTGGGCAAAAGAGGAAAGAAAGAACAATCTCTTTCTTAAACAACTTTCCCACGTTAACCAAATCGAAAAGCATCTTGGGCTGTCTGTCTAAATTCTCTCTCATGGCTCTCTCAGTTGAAATAACCCAGTAATAGAAATGGACAGCGCAAGCAGTCGAAAAGATTGATAAATACCCAAATTTACCTTTTCTTCACCTGGATTGAAATCCTAGATGGTTGGCCCCGTAATTAAATATCTCTTATAGAGGAGCAAGTCCAAATGCTGCCCCAAGCCAGAGGAGCTAGGGGGTACTTGGGGATTTAAAAAAAAAAACAATGAGATGCATTTTTAACTATTTATCAGATCTTAATATTTACCATATCCCAATATTAAAATTTATTGTAATTATATTGTTTTATTCTATACAAATATTTTTTTTTTCACAATATAAAGAATAGATTCCGTATTTAACAGAGATTATCTCCCGCATTTCTCTCCCAACTAAATTGTTACAGATGAAATTTAGACTTTCAATCATTTGAATAAGTGATAAGGAACTTACATGCACAGGTATTTTAGAGTGATTGTTAGACACTAAATATTGCTTAAAATTCATCAAAATCGTGAGGGACTTTTTTTTTTTTTTTAAGACCCAACTTGCCCCTTGGTAATGAAAGGGGAGTGGGAGGGGGAAATGGGAAAAATTTCCAAAAGAGTCCAATCCAAGAGTACGGGAGGAGGGCCACGTTTGCCTATTTCGTACTCTGTCTTCCCACCAATACTCTTCCTTCCTCGGCTGTCCCTCCTCTTTATGACCCTACCTCCCTCACTCTCCTTCTACACGCGCGTATCATCCACTTTCTCTCCATCCCATCCTCCATTCATATAATCATACCCCTCCATCGTGCACGTCGTCCATATCCATCCATGTATGCAATTTTATATTTAAATTCGATATATCCTTCAATAGTTCAATCAAATACCTTTTTCATCTTTTGCCAGGAAAAAGAATACTGTTTTTCATTTGATTTGTACTTTATTTTACTGCATTGCATACAATTCATTAAATTACATGTTAATCTTGAATTATGACATTGCTAAAATAATTATGTCAAATTTTATTCACTATTAAAAGTTATGGGTTGAGTTTGATCCCACCCTAAAATAATCATGTCAAATTTTATTTACTATTTAAAGTTATGGGTTGAGTTTGATTCGACCTATAGTCAAACCAAACAAATTCCTGAATTAAATTATTCAAGGAATGAATTGGATTCTAAGTTGACATAGATAACAGTGTTTTTGATTGTTTTTCTAAAATCCCCAAGTAATAATTTTAAGATTAGAAATAATTAATAATTATATAGTATTTATATATATTTATATTAGGTTGATAATTTAATATATATATTTTTAATAAAATTAACATACTGAAAATATTTAAAGAAATGTCAATAATTGCTATGAAATTAATTAATATTCATAAAAAATATACTCCTTCTGTTAAAAAAATGTAAGGTTTTCTTTAAGAAATTAAATGTTAAAAAATAGAAGATATTTTTAATCTTTTAAGGTGTAATTATTATTATTTTTAAGTATTTGTATTGAATAAATTATTTTATATTTAGTTTAGAGTGAAACACCATATTAAAGAGATAAATAGAAAAAAATCTTATTAATTTAGAGATAAATAACTATTTTTTTAAGTATGATATATATATATATATATATATATTTGGTGGACAGCCCCAGCCAGAGAGTGCGTGTGTGTAAAAATTAGGGATATGAATATAAAGGACATGAAAAATTGTACTATTATTTGTTTAAACGAATTAAATTTTCAAATATCAATTAAATAAGTTAATAGTTTTTATAAAATATATTTCTTAGTTTGCATTTTTGTATGGATTCACAACTCATGCTATTTGAAGCGACAGTGATTTAAGAGCACTTGAAGAACTCTTGATAAGTTTCAAGTTAGTGGACATGCACACATGTTTGGATTTTGATTAGAAGATAGCTTCGACAAATTGGATTGGCTCCATCGCACGTCTATCATCCTCCCAATCTTTGCGAAACGATTGTTTTATCTATCGAAATCCACCACCATGCCTCACACGCCATTTTCACTCAAAGAAACCTTTTGCCAACAAATTAAGGCATGCTTGGCTTTCGATTTGTGCTCTTCAAAAATCTGTTTATAAGAAACAACCATTTATTGCATTTGATAATAGTACTTTCCAAAATAGAAATTAAATGAACTTTTTAGGACATACCAAACATGAATATTGATCGCCCAAAAACAGTTGTGATGAATGTGGAAATCTTCTACTTCTATAAAAAGTGATTGTTAGATTCAATCAAGCATAGAGCGAGAAAACTGTCAAAATGCAAAGACACATGATAGAGCCTAGCAGGAGCAAGAGACAATAGTGAAGATAAACCACATTATGCATGTGGCTTTGTCTTTTCTTTGTCTTTTCTTTTTTTCATGGCATCCTGTCCAAAGCAATTTTATTCAAAATATAGTTGGATATTAAAGATGAATCTTTGGACAATCTTATTCAAAATGTAGTTGGATATTAAAGATGAACGCTTCTTTTAATAAAAATTTAAATTTTTGTTCATTACTATTCAAGAAACTAATCATCTATGCTAAATCCAACCATCATTAGGTTTTTTTAGTCATCATAGAAAGGATAAAACTATGGCATCCTAGTTAATACAAAATTCAATCAATTTAAAATAAATGAAAGTAACAATGATGGATGTAAAGATGCAAATCTAGTAAATCAAAAATTAATAATAAGTAATTTAAGTTGACATGAGTGATATGAACTCTTGCCATCTGAATAAGTGATTGAGTATTTAGATAATATCTAATCTTATGCATATAGAAACTTAGGTGAAGAAGGTTTACTTTTTACCCTTGGTGTTCCAGAAAAAAAAAAAAGTTTATGTTGCCTGATATATACTCCCTGTACTTAAAAAAAAACGTCAATCATAATCAAATAACAATTAATTACATTGACAATGATAATAAGTCCCTTTTTTGCATGCGTGCATGTGACCGAATGCAAGAGATCAGCGGGGAGATTATTTTGGGAAAGTTCATTTGTTGGCACGGGTAAAGACTCTGTTCATTGCATATGCACAACACAAATTTCTTATTTTCTTTGACTTTTTAAGAAAATGATTATTTAAAAAATAAAAAAATAATTATTTAATTCTTTTAATTTTGATTCAATTGTAACTTAATCCATCAATTTTAACTTATTGTAATTCAGTTTTTGAACTTTATCTCTTATAATTTAATCCCTAAAGTTTCAACCTTTTAAATATTGATCCATATATTTTAAAAAATAAAATTATAGAAATTAAAAATATTTTAAAATTTTAATATTTATAGTATTTAAATTATTAAACCCTTTCAATATTTATATATACTTTAAAGTTTAGGAACTGATTTACAACCACGTTAAAATTTTAAAAATTAAATTATAATGAGTTAAAATTCAGAAATTAAGTTGTAATTAAATTAAAAACAATAAGAATTAAATAATTAATTTTTTCTTTAAGAAATAACTGGAATGTGGAATCTCATACATGGGTATAAATAATAAAGATTTCATCAACGCAATGGACAAAATCATTATGATGAAAGAAATTGATGTGGGGAGAATTAAATAAAAAGGGAGGCGTGGGTGTTAGTGTAGGTAGGGTTATTTATTCAAACCCCCAGTGTTGTTCACAAATGCAGAAGCCAACTAACTGGTTCACAGCTAGAAAATTAGTTTCAAGCATAGATTCGTACTACACGTCACACTCGACTCCAAAACTAGACCCATCTTCTTTATGCCATATATATGGTCTTGCATATAAAACATTATTTACGAGATTATAAACAGTGCAATTTACGAACAACTTTGTCTTGCTATGTTGCTAAATACTAATATCTTCGTACAGAAACCAAAGTGCCTTTTAAACACATATTCCCCGCAACGTTAGCAGGGTCAAGTTGTCCGTTGCCTGTCACACATGGAGAGATTCACAAGTGAAGTACTTTCTCTCTGAATCACAATATAAATCACCATTAACTAATTTATATTTTTTTAAAAATATTTAAACCTTAATTTTCTTAAAAATTCCCTCATCTTTCCAATCTTATTTTTGAATGTAAGGAATATAAAACTTCACTTATTTAAAACATTCTAATCTAATTAATCACTCAATAAAATAAGAGTATAATTGAATATATATATGTATATATATAACACCCAGTGCCTATTTTGTACCAAGCAAAACTTATAAAAAATGACTTATATTGTGACTTGAGAATTTTTTTTTTGTTAGCATGACTATATCCTGCTCCACAAGGTGGTTAATCTTTAAGGATGAGCTCCCATTTTAAACTTGTTCTTATAACATTGATGCCTTTATTAAAAGATTGATATTATAGAAAGGGACATATACTAAGAGTTCTAACTAGCAAGAGAGGTTGGGTAAAATGTTGTGGAGTACTAGAGTTGCTGAGGAAGTTGGCTTTCAAAAAAAGTGACCTTATCATGAGTCACACATTAAAAAGCTTTATAAGTGAAGTAAGATTCAATTTATAAATGTTATACTCTCTTTTCACCCAACACATTATTATTTTGAAATGAGCCTTCTCTTTGAATAAAACTTGCACTGGTGAAGGATTACATGTTGGCGTCTTGGTGATTAGCCATGTAAGACCACTGACCAACCGCTCTGATCAATGTTATTGGTTCCTGATGACACCAAAATCATGTGATAGATAGACATTGAGCTGCTATTAAAAAAATCTTAAGCATTGTGTACTACA